AGACAGACAGACAGACAGACAGACAGACAGACAGACAGACAGACAGACAGACAGACAGACAGACAGACAGACAGACAGACAGACAGAGAGGGCGGTGAAGGGAGAGTGGGGGGGAGGGGGATTGATTGGTACCTGTCCTTTTCTGTGTCTGTGGGTGGTGTATTCAAGATGGTGTACGATGACACAGTAAGAAAGCTACAACTTCAATACCGGGATGTGCGAAAATTGATTTATACGCAGGGAGCACAGACAGATCATGGGTAGGCGGATAGGCAAACAAACACGCTGAATGAATAGTTCAACGAGTGTGCAGAAAGGTTCTCGTAAATTCAGTCCCAGTAGGGACCCCAAGAGAACCCTTCAGGAGATAAGAGCGGTTTTGAAGTACGAGAGGACGCGATGAATGAGATAAAGGGGTATGGGCTCTAAGAGCTCCCAATGGTTTCCCCACCCGCCAAGATTTAGCAATAAAATCTGACAGTTACCTCAGACAGTACCTACCATTCATTGGTATTAGAAAGTTTGAAACTATGTACACGTAACGGGTACAGAAAGTGGTTGGTTGACGGGTGCTCTGGTGTGGTTTGCTTCTTCTTTCCTATCAAACGTCTATCGTCTTTATCTCCCCTCCTTTTTGTGTTTGTTACTCTCTTTTAACACTCCTAATCTTAGGCACTTATATAACCTTATTGTGTTGCAACTGCCGTCAAACACTTACTAAAACAAAAACTGGTACAGAAACGACATCGAGTTGAAACATGTCGAGACTGGCCAACAAGAACCTGTGGTGGTTAAAATCTAATCAGACTAAACGACACGGGACCAACGTATGTGTCACCCCAGCTTTCCGCGTCCCAGTCTGTACCGTGACCATGAGTTTCGTGCATAAGGAAGTAGTACATGAAAACTGAAAGTAGTCAGTAGAATTATAATGTTTAAAACATTTCGGTAATGGCAGAGCTGGTTTAATGTAATTTTGGTTAGATGCATACCTATTCTCCCAAATAGGGTCACTTACCAAAATACAGCCAAACCTTTCTTGTTTGTCCCCCCCCCCCCTCTC